CTACGAAAGTTATCTTTTGTTTTTGTAAATTTTCAGTAGAAACCAACAAGTTTCTAGCTTTAATTCTCTGTAAGCGTTTCTTCCTTAGGGATCATGTCAAAAATCATTATTAGTTGACTACTGTTGTATTGATTCACTTTCTTGATCAAGAACATATTTTTCAACACCATCCTCACTTTAATCAAAAACCCGTATTACTATATATCATATAACTCCATACCTCAATTTTGAACAGAACAGGTGTTTTGGTTAGATATCTTGAGTTTAGAATCAAAGATGGATAAAGAAGAAGCAGAGGTTTGGGATCGAGCATCTAGAGGATGTAGTCATACTCATAGTTGCAATCCTCCTGGTCCAGAGGATGCTTCTCACTCTCACACATGTTTCCACACTCATACTCATCTCATCATCCCTGTAATAAATACATATCTTGCTTTCTTTTCCTTTATTAGAGGATGTGGTAATGGTGGAAGTTGAATGGATTATTATAGATAATATGAAATGATTATCCATGTTTCAACAGGATTCGTGCGAAAATGATCATTCTGATGGTAGCAACAAGAAACGGCCATGTGGTAATAGAGAGGCAGTGAGGAAGTACAGGGAGAAGAAGAAGGCTCGCACTGCGTACCTTGAAGACGAAGTAAAGAGATTGCAATCTTTGAATCAACAGTTGCTTACAAAGCTTCAGGGCCAAGAAATGGTGGAAACCGAATACATCAGACTTCGGACTCTTCTTGTAGAGATGCAAGGGAAGATGGATTGTGAACTTGGTGGTTTCTCGTTTCAGAAGCAATGCAACGGTTCTGGTTTTGTGTTCAAAGAAGGTGATGTATACTTATGTTTTGGTTTACTAGATTGATTTGGTTGTCAACAATCTGATAAGATGGTTAAAATATCATATTGGAAAGACCAAATCTTAAAGAAATCTGGTTTTCACTAGTCAGCTTTTGAGGTTGAGTTCCAATTTTTGAGCTTTTAAGATGTTTGATCTAGATCTAATCCTAACGTAATCTCAATGATCGTGTGACCACGCAGATGGATGCAGCATAGGAACAAGGAATGTGATGTGTGAAGCGGCACGGGTGGAGTGCGAGGAGGGCCAAACACTTCATGATGCTATACACTCAATTGTTCCTCATTCACCATCATTCTCACATTAAACTTTTATAAGCTGTGGTATTGTGTTACATATATGGGCTTAATTTAGGGCATAGAGGTTGGATACCAATATAGTAGACACACACATATTGTAGCTTATTCCATATGTTGATTTTAAGGGTACAAAAACATATTGATTATAATTGATTTGAAAGGAGAAGGATGAGGATTTGTAGGTGTATGTATGATGGTGATTGTGGGCTTAGAAGATCTTTGGGGGTCCATTTATAGATTTGGTATATGTAATATGTGGGTATGGTGAAAACCCAAATCAATAGGGATAAGGTATGAATCATACATACATGTGCATGTATATCATATTTTCTTAAGCATATGAAAAAAATCCATTGGTGTGGACTGCCTCCAATCATTAACTTTTTTATACAATTTGCCTCAAACATTTTGCACATAATAGTAATCATTCTCCTACATGGGAATCAAATATTTTCATGGATGGGTCAATGATAAGGCCGCATTGTTAGATTTTTGGGGGTAATTATTTAGCAGAGTTTT